GAGTAGTATAAGCAACCAAAGTTTTTCCTCTTTTTGTGCTGCTTATCAGCTCCGTCCTATAGTGTATACAAGAGGTCCTCTATAGGCAGCACTTAAGGTCTAATCGCTCAGCCACCACAAAGCAATAATCTTTCAATTTATCTTTCGAATTGGGTTCAACTTTTCAATACACATTGCAAAATTATTTCACAGCTTTCAAAAAACTATTAATTTGTATTTTTCATGCAAGAGATTTTGTATAACTTGAGTTGAATTTCGTATAACCACATATCGAGACTTTAACCCGAACTGATAAGGGACGTAGTATTCCAATGTCAACTATAATAAGAAACTCTTTGTTCTTTTGACAAATTATCTGCGTGTAGCTGCGAAAGTAGCCTCATAATACAATTTTATATCGTGGCTTAAATTCAAAAATAAAAGAATAATTAAATCTTATAGCGAACTCTTCTCGTCGTCAGTCATTTTCACATAAAAAAATAAGCAGCCAGTAGCACGTTTGTACAGTGAATTTCTTTAGAATTGATTACCAAGCATTCGCCAGATAATCTGCTCTTTAAGAAACTCTAGTTGCTTATATATTTTTTTACCCTTTGCTCAGAAGCAGAAATATTTTATGAAAAGATTTTATGTCCAGAAGGGAAATCAAAAATTTAGTTTAACACAAACCACATACAAAGTCTTTATTTTATATAGCTGCCATAGAATGAATTGGTAGAAATCAGTTTCTCAGCGTTGTTTGATAGCACGAGTACTGGCTTTTTAAATTTTCCATCATAGGTTGCCCCTACCTTATATCTTTGTGACTGGGATTTCCAATAAAGCATAAAGCTAGGTATTTTTTTCTTTTACGGAAACTAAATGTCGCAAGTAGAAAGGTGTGCTCGCTCCATCGACCTTGTAGACGCGTCCGTTTTGATATTGTCTGGCAATTGCATTCCATGTGACCCATATTCCGTGTCTTTTATTCTACATATACTATAGTACAATATAGTTCACACCTCGATTTTGCGGCATTCTGGCATCTAATTACGTGACCTGCCGTTGCCCACAAGGTTGCTGTCTAAGCGTTATTTTTCGTTATTATTGTTATTATTACTATTTGTTTGGTTGTTCAGTTTGCTAAAAGTTCAGGGTCGTCACTTCATTGACTGTTGAACATTTTTCTAAATTTTATTGAATGAGACAGACCGGACGACCAAAAATATTCGTTGCTTCCCAGTGACGACTCATAGTATAGATAATAGCCATTAAAATCGTGTCAAACTTTCCATAGTTTTGCACACAACTGTGATTGCTTATCAAGAGTTGGAGCTTATCAGTTCGGTTGAGGCAAGGCAGGCGGCAGACAGGCATAATTCAATTAAAAACAACAACAGCAATAACAAAGAAATGAAATGAAATGAAATGACTTTTTTGCAGTCAGCTTTACACTTTTAAAGTTGCTCTAAAAAACAAAAATAACAACAAAAAAGAGATCATGAAAAAATTGACGCGTTTAATTGGCCACAAAGCGAAACTAAAACGCAAAGAGGTGGTGCCAGCAACAACAACAACAACGACGACGACGATGACAAGAAATAAAACGCCGACAAAGCCACTGAAGAAGATTTCAGCGCCAGCTGGCATTCACAATTACAACAAAGTTGTTGCCACATCCACATCGAGTGGCATCAACAGCCTGCCGAGCACATCGGCGGGCAAGATACAATATGCGGCACTGAATCGCATGCGCAACAGCAACAACAACAACAACAGCAGCAGCAGCAATAAACATAAAGAGCGTGTGCCACCCACGCAACGCAGCGAACGCAAGTGGCAGCGTCTATGGGACGTCTCTGGCTGGTGGTGGTGGTGGCGCCGTCGCCGACACCGCCCCCGGAGGCAGAAACGTGACTTCTCCAATTATTGGAGCCACAACAACTCTGGCAACTCCGCCAAGTCCAAGCGTTGGCGCTGCTGCTGTTGTTGTTGCGGCTGCTGCCAGCCGCATGGCAACTTTAGCGCCGAATCCGATGACGACGATGACGACATCGACGCCAAAGTCGCCGCCTATATGATCGAGTTGAAGAAACGGGAAGCGGTGGCAGCGGCAACGACGTCCACAATAGCAACAGCGACGGACAGACCAAGTACGCATATAGCTGAGAGCAGCTTGAGTTTAGATTTTGTTGAGATCGCCAGTCTGCCGACTCAGTCCGTGGTGGTGACGCGGCGGCGACAGCAGCAACAGCAACAAAAACAACAGCAGCAGCAGCAGCGACGCGCCTGGACTTGGGACGACAGTTTGCGTTCGAATTCGGATCGTTTTCTGGAAACGCTCGAGGAGGATTTGTTGACACGGGAATGTGTGGCTGGCGCTGCTGCTGCTCCGCCTGCTGTTGCTGCTGCTGCTGCCGCCACATTCTTGCCGCGTCGCACGCCACTGCAAGTTAGCTTCTGTGAGGCAGATCTGCGCCCAGGTAGGCGGGCTCTGCGGCATCTGGCCTTTGAAAATTTACATTTCGACTGCACAATAAGATATGGTTTATTTGGATATTTAGGCGCATATCAGAAGACACCAAGTCACGCGCACACAGTCTCGTATATAAACACATATCGTCACGTACTTATCGACACATTTATCAGCACGATAAGCTTCAGTTAAGCTAAGACGTTCAATTATTTTACATAAGTTATGTTATGTCTCTAATCTGGGCTTTCTTTCTATAATTTCTTTTGATTTATTCGTAATAAATGAACTCATAATTTAGTTTGGTTCACAAATATGCTAAGAGTTTTTTGGACCTAGGAAGCCCCTTTCGGGCTCATAATTTAGTTTCATTCACAGCAATACTAAGAATTTTGTGGATTAAGGAAACCCTTTCTTTAAAGTTAAAACAGCAATCTGCTTAAAAATAATATCATAATTCTATGCCGAATGTATTTATTTTGTATTTTAAATAGACTCGAAAGAGGGATCTGGGATTTCTATAGTTTCTTTTGATTTATTCGTAAATATTGAACTCATCATTTAGTTTAGACTCTTTTTTTTGGACTCAGGAAACCCTTTCTTTAAAGCTAAAACAGCAAGCTGTTTAAAAAAAACATATCATGATTCTATGTAGAATGTATTTATTTTGGGATTTCTATAGTTTCTTTTGATATATTCATAAATATTGAACTCATCAATTAGTTTGATTCAGAGCAATACTAGGAGTTTGTTGGACTTGGGAAAACACTTTCTCGCTCATACTTTGATTTGATTCACAGCAATACTAAGAATTTTGTGGATTAAGGAAACCTTTTCTTTAAAGTTAAAACAGCAATCTGCTTAAAAATAATATCATAATTCTATGTAGAATGTATTTCTTTTGAATTTTAAATAGACTCGTAAGTGGTACGTCTGCGACTGATTTTTATTTACTTGTATTTATGGCAAATCTAACACAAATTCAAATCAGTTGACAGAACGCCCATTTAATAAAGTTGGCACATAATAGACTTCCGAAAGAAAGCGACTAAAATTAAAATACCATGGAAATTAAATGAAAGCAATAGGGTTTGCATCCTCAAAATAAAGCTTAGCTCCGCCTTCGCGCGTTCAATTCTTTATTACAAATTTTTCTCTTCTTTTGCTTGTCCACTATTTTTATTTTTCAACGAGCTAGCAATATGGCCATAACAATACTGTTTTCCACAAAAAGAAACCAAACACAACAAAGAATTTAACAAAATGAAACATCTACATAATGCTAAAAGGTTGGGAAGTTCCGCTGGTTGTCTTCAGTTAAGATGGCTCACCTGGAAAGCCTTTTTTTTTGTGCTCCAGTAGTTCACATCTATAGACGCAAAATTCAAAGAGCAGCATTCAAAATGGTTGTCGTCCACCACAATGCCCTTTCCAATGAACCCCTTTTAGGCACAATTTTTTATGTTAAAATTAAAGTTTTTTTTTCAAAAAACCACACATTTTTCATGTTTGTTAATATTTAAGAATAGGTTGAATGCCAGATAGATAAACGTAATTTCTCTAATTAAACCATAAGACTTGGTTCTCTGACAACCGTAGAGTGGATTTTCGAATTCTAAATATAAATTTTTAATCATATCTTCGATCTCTTCATCCAAATTTGACAAAAGAAATCAGTTTCTTATAGCTTTACTGCAAAAATCCGAAGAAAAAAATTAAAAAAATGTATACTTTCAATTTCTCATATGAGTTTATGAAAGTCAATCTACAAGTATATTCAGAATTAGGGATTTATTTTATTATTCAATTTTATTTAAGAAAGAATGTCACGTTTTGAATAACATTAAGAGTTTTAATGGTTTAATTGAGTATTTCAGCGCACTTGCTATAAACGAGTCTATTTCTAGACACTCATTAAATATAATATTTCAATTGCTGAAATCCTTAATTTATTGAAACATGAGGCACTCATGAGTATTTATCTAATTTTGACATTTGTTTGAAATCATTTCAAATGATTATTACTTTTTAATAAATGGATTGCCTTAAACTCTCAAAAAGAGTTGCCTCGAATACTTTTAAATGACAAACAATGCATACTTATAAGTTTTATTTAATATTAATATTAAATGGTAATATTAAAGGAACTAATCAATTTCCTAATCGACCATTAGAAAGGTTAGGGGAGTGGTTTTCACTTGACAACCAGGAGTACAGAAATGAAGCTAATGATAATGCTTTCAAAGTTTCATTAATATTTGTTTAGTAATGGAGTCTGTTTTTGCAGCCGCTTTGTAGACCAGTGTAATGAACGAGCTAGCCAGTCTTGTTGCCATTATGCTTTATCAGCGGCTCAATCTAATAAATGAGCTGCGATTTTTAATCGCATCAATCGCATTGATGATCGGATCGATCGATGAGTGTATCTGTGTGCGTGTGGAGATGATTATTTATCATTAGAAATAATTGAGGCGCAAACTGCCACAATTTCCATTAACATATATTATATTATTTTATTGTGATTATTTTCCATTTGTAAATTTCGCAGAAGAGGCCAAGGTAGCGGCCGAGGAGCTGAGTCGTTCACCTGTGATGGGGCAGCGAAATGATGCCGCCGGCAGTCCAATACAGTCGCGCGCCTCCAGCGAGGCGTGGCCGGCACAATCGGATGAGGATATTGATCGTCTGGTGGCTATGCATCAAAATCGTAGCAGTCTTAGCTCCCTGGGTGTAAGTTTAAAAATAAATTATCTAAATACGAAGGAAAATAACAACTCTGACTTTTTCCTAACAGCTACGTTCCGAGTCCATGGCCAGCGTTTATTCCGGCGCCGGCGAGGGCCGCTACGGCACTGTCGTGGTCAAGGGTCAGGTGGAGTTTGCCATGCAGTACAATTATAAGCTAGGCGCCTTGGAGATACACGTGGTGCGCTGCAAGGATCTGGCTGCTGTCGATGCCAAACGCAATCGCAGCGATCCGTATGTCAAGGTTAGTTTGCAAACTAATCAAACCTTTTGGGGTTTCTGACTGAACCCTTTTACTTTTCTTGCAGGTCTATTTGTTGCCCGACAAGTCGAAGGCTGGCAAGCGGAAAACCAAAGTCAAGAAACATACGCTCAATCCCATTTTTGACGAAACATTACGTTTCCACACCCCAGTTTCCAGTCTGGAGGCCCGCACCTTGTGGCTGACCGTTTGGCACTCGGATATGTTCGGACGCAACGACTTCCTGGGCGAAGTAAGCGTCAATTTGCAGGGACGGGTCTTTGACAATCCCCAATCGCAGTGGTATCTGCTCCAAGAACGCGTAAGTGACTCCGAAAAATAATCCCATTGAGTCCCAGCTAATTAACATTTGCTTGCAGAGCGAACCTTTCGATGAAGTCGCCACCTATCGCGGCGATATTGTGGTGGGCCTGAAATATGTGCCTGCCGAGAACCTCAAATCTTCCATATTCTCCCGTGGCTCCTCCTTAACCGGCAGTAGCTCCAATTTGCGTAAATTCGGGGGCAGCATCAAATCGGTCACCTCCAAGTCGGATCGCAGTGCCAAGGGCGGCCAGCTGCATGTGCTGGTCAAGGAGGCCAAGCACTTGAGCCCCATTAAGACCAACGGCACCTGTGATGCCTTCTGCAAGAGGTAACTGGACTACTACTATTTAGGATTAACTTTATTGAAATAATTTGTTTTTTTAATCTATCCAGTTACTTGCTGCCTGATCGAACGCGCAGCTCGAAACAAAAAACGCCAGTTGTGAAACGCACTCTGCATCCTACATGGAACTATGCATTTGTCTATGAGGATGTCTCGCTGGAGGACTTGTCGGAGCGCGCCTTGGAGCTGACCGTATGGGATCATGATCGCTTGGCCAGCAATGAATTCATTGGCGGCATTCGTTTCTCGCTGGGCACGGGTAAGCATAATTATATAAGTCAGCAATTTGTTAAACAGGACATTTAGTTGGTACGAGGGACGAAAGTTTTGCTTTTCAGTTAATTCTGTGTCAGTTCTTGTAGACTTATTTTTGATTAATTTTAATGTATTGATCGAAGTACCCAAAGGCTAAGAGGGAATACAGTTCATCACAGGTTCGCAAGCCACATATGCCGTAGCATATACATTTTTTTTGAGATCCTTTAAAAAACAAATAATGTATATGAGCAGAAAAACCTCTATTTATTAAAAAATTTTAAATCACTTATTAAAAAATGCAGAAAAACCATTATTTACAAATAAATAAAACAGATAATTAAAATTGATGTACATATCTGAGCTAATAGGAAAATCTATGTGGCCATATATGCTCTGTAAAAAAAATATTTAATGAGAAAGGACACAAAGAGCCGAAGAGAAATAGTATTCGTTTAAAGGCTAGCTTAAAGCAATATATCCGCTTCATCTTTTTCATGAACGATTTTTATTAATAATAATATATTTTTATTATAAGTACACATTACAAAAGTTTGCGTTGTTTTCTGCATATTTAAAAACTCGTTATAAAGTTTCTATCTATGTTGGAGGAATGTTTCAAAATATTTAAATTATTTACCTTTTTGATTTGAACACCTGCCCTCAAAAGTATGCTATGCTTTCTTCAATTCGCAAAGCCTTTCTGGCGTCTGTCATAAAGCTTAAATCGCCTAGCAGAACTAAATAAAAACTGATACACAAATTACTCACAATAATTTAAAATTTTAAATATTTTTACTTTTATTTAAACATGTCTTTCAACTAATAACCATATCCCTCTCTCTCTCGCTGAATAGGCAAAAGCTACGGCCGTCAAGTGGAATGGATGGATGCTACCGGCAAGGAGCTGTCGCTCTGGCAGAACATGCTCGATCGTCCCAACTTCTGGGTGGAGGGCAGTCTGGTATTGCGCTCGAGCCTGGATGGAATACGCGCGTTGCCATAAGCAGGTCCACAGACATTCGCAAACAGACTCCGCTTCTTACAAGCAAATGCTAATTAAATGCTTGGCTACAGAACAATATTATTACAGTTGCCGTTGCACAGAGCTGCACCCTGTATTGTATTTGTATTAATTAAAGAGGAACAATTATTGTATTATTGATGACGATGCTGATATTAGTCTAGGACGAGCATGGCTACGCTTGCCAAGAATTGAAGCAGACACTCACAGTTCGAATCAATTTGCAGCAACAGCAGAAATAGACATTGTGTTGATTTTTAGCGTTAATTGCAATAGCAAAGCATACATGTTTAATTATACAATTGTAATTGTTTAAAACGGCACCTTTGGAAGATAGCGCGTTTCAAGTTATTGTTATATACACACAGCATACACACATACGTAGTGACCGGGGCGTTTGTGTTCGACGCCCCTCCCCCCTTAGAGCGATTTTCAAATACTCGAATATATTGTATTGACGATGACGTTGCAAGTTCTTAAATCTAATCTAAGCAGCACTGCGTTCAAAAAACAAAAGCAAACAAAACAAAAACAAAATTATTTACTAACGATAAAGAAAAGAAAACTGAAAAACAAACAAACAAAATCGTAAAAATGTTATCAAATTTGTAGGCACTAAGAGGGCTATATGATATATGCCATAAATTGTAAGTTGTGCGAATTGCGAATTGCGAATTGCTCATAATGATAATGATGATGATAATACTATACTGATGACGATGATAAGGAAGAGCAGTCGAAGCTGCCTAGTGCTTATAATTATTTTTTTCTACCGAGAACTTGCAATTTGCATATTGTATGCATTAAACTATGATGTATCTATAACTAAACCGATATAATAAACTAAGCTGCTAGACATACATTTGTAAACTTGGCCATGGCCAAATAAGTTGATGAAAACAAATAAATAAACACATAAACATAAATAACCGAAAAATACAAAAGTATCCATTTTTATAAATGCAATTTTGTTTCATTTTCGTTTCCCATTACTACATAGTCTAGCACTTAAGTGATTTGCATTCTAAACACAACATATACATACATATTCCTGCATCATCACGTACATATGTATGTGCATGTTTATATCTCAAGCATATCGCAAGCTTTGTGCAAAATCAGCTAATCTTCATAAGAGCCATCCGACCTACCTACCTACCACCTATTTATCTATCTACTATACAAATAAAAATGGAAAATAAAATCTATTTGTTGTTGAACTTTTTTACAAGTACATGTGCATGGAAACAAACAAAAGTGAGCCGTTTGGTCAAATGAATAATGAAAATGTGTTAAGAAAACTTTAAAGAAAAAAGAATTAAGAAACCATACAAAAACGAATCTTATGAATGCTTTTGGTGTAAGTTTATAATAAACAAAAAATATATATTTAAAAAGTACATACAGCAAGCAAAGAAAAATCAATAATAACATTGAATGGTATTTAAAAAATTTATAGAAAATGTTTTTTATAAAGAGAAATTGCTGAATCACTCGTTGCCTAAATACCGCTTGTCTTTTATACTCGATGTTTTCGAAACACACACACACACAACACAACTCAATGATGATGATGATTATGATGATGATGATGATGATGACAATGTAATGAATGGTTTATGACAAGAAAAACTTTCTCTGAATCAAGTCTCAAATGGAATAAAAAATTGACAAACAATAAGCAGCAAATATTGCAAAAAGAAATGGTATTTAGTAGCATACATAAACTATAATATAAATTTATATATAAGTACATATATACTCGTATAAGAGAAGAACTTCTGATGTGCTTGAAAGTTAAAGTTGGTCAACTTTAATTACACTTTAGATCGTATACATACTATATTTATTTGAGATCCTAAAACAAATCACACTCTAGCACACAATGCATGTATATTTTTCTACTCGACTTCTTGGCTTAATGAGAATTTATCCTAACTAACTTTTAGCTCTAACTAAACTAAACTTAACTAAACTAAACTTAACTGAACTATCCAAGCCCAGACCGAATTGTGTTTTAACAATTGAACTTCAATTGGCATTATGTGCGCATATAATTGTAAAATGAAAAGCAAAAATTTACTCACTCACTGACATGGTGCTATATACTCTCGTACTTACATACTGGTATACTACTTACTATATATGTATCTGTACTGTAAGTATCGAGAAATGAAAAATGAATCATGAAAAAGTCTTTTTACCTTTTTACTGTTTACTCGTGTGTACTCGTGTATATTTCGGATTCAACTGAACTATTGTGAACACTAGTGTTGATTATACATACTTACCATATACATATTATGAGATACATATACAAGTACATACATATATAGAGCTAATGCTAACGTTACTGCTATGATAATATACTATAATATGACTTAGCATTAGCTATTTCTGATCAGCATTTTTGCATATTCCGATTGACATTATAATGTTGAATAATTATGTTACATAGTTGTGGTATTTAAAACGGAATATAAAACATATACATACTAATATTGTATAAACAATGACAGCCTAAGATGCTGATTACGGTTTATGATTAATAATAATTATGATAGGCCTTTATAGTTTAATAACATACTACAGTTGGTTGCCGTTGCTAATTATATGCTCTAACTATACAAGAAGTCAAACATTTATGGGCCAAGCATATAGAATGTTTATTATAGAAATCTGCTGGCATTCACAAAAATTAATGGTTAAATGGTTTTTATTTTTTATGAACTCCGCTCTAGAAATTCTTTAAATAAGTTAATGTTTAAGCCCCCATAATTATACATATATATTAAATACATACATATATTTTAAAGACACAGACACATCAGGCAAGTAGTTGCGTTGAGATTTTCGTAAGCAGGACAAAGAAGCAACCTCCACTAAGTAATTTGTAAGACTTTCTAATAAAATCCACACGGCATAGGACGTGAAATTAAACAGTTGGCATAAACATTTACATACATATATATAAATATATGTGTAAATGTGTGTACGTACGTATATTGACTTATAAGTAATTAAACTTAAAGCGTACACAATTACTTGTAAAAAAGAGTTTATATGTACACACACACACACACACACACATTTTGTTGGTCCCCTCGACTAACTTGGCCCAATTAAAATTCGTTAGCGAATATCTGGGGTGCGAGAGCGAATTCCCCATAACTTGTGTTAGAAATTGTGAACAGAAATCAATCAAATAAAAGCAAATTTCACATCTATTGACTACTTTCGGAACTAAGAACAAACAAAACCTTGTTGTTGTTTTTTTTTTTCCCACAAGGACGTGCTAGAATTTTCTGTCTTTCAGCAAAACTTTCTAAGTTTCTAAAGGCTTTGTCTTGGACTGCATGAGCTCCAGTTCTTCGATGGAATGTGTGCTCTTGGTCTCCTCCTCATCCGCTGGGCGTCTCCAGCACTCGAAAGACAACATCGACTCGCCTCGACCAAATGCCTCGCCATCTGCCAACGTAATAGGCAGCTGTCTGGAAAATGCATTCAAATTAGAACATAAATAAGTTAAATACCACATATTTGTATTTCGAATATTGTTAAGCACCTGTTCAGTGTCTCTGGCAGGCGGAGCGTTGCCAAGGCACACACCATCAGTACCACGGCCAATATCAGCGATGGTCCGGCCGCAAACTTCACGCCCATGTGTATGAGATATGGCGACAGAAATGAGATCCCAGCGCCCGCCACATGGGCAGCAGCCAGACCACGCGACCGCACACAGGTGGGTATGAGCTCCGAGGAGTAGAGCGAGGCGCAGGTATAGCACATGGAGCTGCCCAAACGCATGGGCAGCGTCAGCGCCAGGAAGAGCACGAACTGGCCCTGCCACTGCTCCACAGACAGCGCCACGGCCATGGCGCAGCAGAGCAAGCCAGTAGCCAACATGGCCAAGATCACAGTAGCCTTGCGACCCAATCGAGTCTGCATATGGGCCTGCAGCACTCCCGCTATCGGTATAACGAGGCCGAAAAGGGAGAAGACCACAAATGGCGACAGACCCAAGCCCTCCACGTTTCGCGTAATGGTGTTGAAGACCAGAACGTTCAGCATGCTGCAAGAAAATAAGGTTGGAAATTTATTATTGTGCTACGCTTCTATTGCCAAATAATTTGCCAACAAACTCGCCAGAAGATTCTCTTTTTCATTTTATCTATGTTACTTACATATTGATATTCTTTAATTTATAGAATTCTATACCATCGATATCAACAATAGAATATGGATTATGTGTATTTTTTTCTCTCTAGCTCTGATCAGAACCGGTAAGTTGAATTATCTTTTCAATCGCGCTATATACTTCTAAAGTTTAGGATGAAAACGTGATCTACTAAACTAAGCTCTAGAACCATAAATCGAAGCCGAAAAGCGAAAAGGAAAGAATTTATTTAACGTAATATACAGGGTGCGCCATCTTTTGTGTCTAAACATTGAATAACTTTGTCATTAGTGAACCGATTGACTTGAGTAGACCAGTGTTGAAAATCTCAGTTCAAGAAATTGTACAGAACCAAATTAAATAAAAATATCTCATAATGAAAATTGGCCAGAAAACCTTGCATATAAGCTCTATTTTTCATTTTAAATACGTAGTGATATTTTGAAATCTGCAGAATTATCTACCGTCGATATGAACAATAGTATTTTAATTGAATTATCACTTTAATGAGACTCCTAAATTGTTTTTATAGTTCCGGATAAAACATTGATCCACTAAAATAAGCTCTAGTTTAAGTTTGGCAAAAGTTTAAATGCTGTTAAATAATAAAATTCAGATTTTTGTTTTCATTTTATCTACGTATTGATATTGAAATCTTCACAAATATGTATATACCGTCAATAGAATACAATCGAATGTGGAATATCTGCGGTTTTTCTCTCTAGCAGATCAGAACTGGCATTTTTGAATTATGTTTTTTTAATAAGACTCCTAAATTGTTTTTATAGTTCCTGATAAAACCTTGATTCACTAAAATGAGCTCTAGTTTAAGTTTGGCAATAGAATCCAACGATCGAATAAAATGAGCTCTAGAGCCAGAACTCACAGCCGAAAGGCGCAAAAGGTTAAAAAATGCCTTTTTCCCGCTTTTTTTTTATAATTATAGCAATATGAAAAATTGTATCTATTTCAATGCAATGGCTTCTGTTGACAGGTTGGTAGCACAGGCAATTGCCGTTAATTTTAAATAGCATTTTCCAAGACTGTCACTTACTACGAGTTAATGACTAGAATTATGCAAATTTCAGATATTTCAGTTGCTTCAGCTTGGCTGACTGGAGAGAGTTAACAATAATGCATTTTAAAGGCACAGTTGACATTACTTTTGAATGCTGCTAGAAATTAGTGTATTTAGCAAATGTATATATAAATCATGCTGCAATAATACCAGAAAATGGTCTTCTAATTATCGGGCTTATACTCTTTACGCTCTGACAATACCTTATTTATAGTCATATTGTATGTGCTTTTAAAAACTGATCTCAGTTCATACTCACAACATGAATCCCACGATGAGGGCGGTGCGTCGTAGGCGTGGCGTTCGAAGTATGTCCAGCAGCCGGGCAGTTGGCTGCTGCTCCACATGCTGTCGCTTCTCGGCACAGTGGCTCCGAAAGGCATCAAAGTCGGCTGCCGGCACCTGCCGTCCATTGAAGTGCGCTATGTACTTAAGCCTGGCGATGGCGCTGTCGGCATCATTGCGCGTGATCAGCCACTGGGCGCTTTCCTGGACCACAAAGTAGAAGAGGGCCACCGCCAGCAGACTCAACGACATAAAGGTCAAGTAGATGCGCCAATTGCCAGCCAAGACGGCCAGCCAGGAGGCTGCCAACGAGCCCAAACAATTGGAAACGCCCAACGTGATGTTGAAGTGTATGTTGCGCATTCGCGGCGACAGATATTCAAGCACTAAACACACACAACTGATAAGCTGAGATGGCCAATGACGTCATCATTCACTTACCCAGTATAAACATCAGATAGAAGTTGGCATCGGCCGACCAGCCCGATATGAATCGGCAAACGGCGAACTGCGTCAAGTTGGCAGCGTAGCTGGTGCAGAAGTCGCCAATAAAGCCGCATTGGTTGGCCAATATCAGGGTCGGCACACGGCCCAGTCTGTCGCCCAGCAGGCCAAAGGTCAGGGTGCCCAGCAGCGAGCCCACAAAGAACAACGACTGACCAATGCGCGCCTTATAGGCATCATCGCACACCCAGTTCATCTGAAAAGCAAAGAACAGAAGAGAGTAAATATTTTAGCTGCCCAGCCCAGGCACAGTGGTATGAAAGCGAATTTACAAATATTTGTTATTATAGTAGAAGAAGAAAGTTCAATGTGTTCTCATTAAAATATAAATATTGTTTTCAAAACGAAATATTTAAGCTTTTTTCAGAACTTAGGAAATAAGCAGAAATTGTTATTAAAAAGAAAATCCAGAAAATGGAAAAATCGCAGCTGTTTCTTGAAAAATTGAAAAAATTTGCTTTTGTTTTCAATTTTTCAGTTCAAAAAGAAAAATTATATCGACATGAATGTATAAAATTAAATCCAGAAACCTTCAATATAAAAGAAAATGGAAAAGAAATCTTTATCATAACATTTTTTATTAAAAAATGTTCACTTTACTTTTTCTCAACTTTAAAAAGTATTTCCCTATATTTTACCGGGTTCGAAATGCTTTCTACGTCCTGATACATAGAGGCATAAAACAGTGGATTTACTCGATAATTAATTACTATATAAAACTATTTTGGCATTATTTGTTCCACGGTAGGCAACATATTGGCACTATATAGTAAATATAGTTATGTGTATCCCAGCATAGAAAGTATTTTTAGAAATGCCGAATGTACCAAACGTATATTTCAAACGAAAGAAAGGAAAATTTAGGGGCAGTTCACACAGACATGTTTAAATTTTCGTTTCAATTTGTTTAAATCACTTGTTTTTAAAGAAATATGTAGCTGCTTGGTGTGTTATGTTGATTAACTAAATAAATATTTAAAATAAATTTAAAAATGTTACTAAAATTTGTTTGTATTTGTTTAGTTGTGTGAACTAGTCTTTAATATATACTATGAGACGCTACGTGAATTTTATAGTATTTTCGCCCGCAATTCGCATTTGATTTTTTAGAGCTTATATACTTGTATTGTTATTGTGTTTCTAAAGAAAAAAACAAATACAACGTTATCTTAATAGTGAAAATGTGTTCATACCTCCGCATTAATGCTCCTAAAGCCGTAGTCATATTTGTAAATCCATTTGGCGCATCGCTCGCTGCTCACAGTTACATTATCGCCCTCGATGGCATCCAGACGTGTGCAAGAGGCAAGTTTGCCAAACGGTTTGTATATAGCCTCGATTTGCGCATAGCTACGATTCTCCAACAGCGGATGATGGCACCAGTGCTCGGGCACAAAGCTAATTATGTTCTGGGAGTAGTAGTGGAGAGTGCTGGTGAACGCAATATAGCCAAGTAGGCCCAGTATGAGATACTGATAACGGCCCGAGTCGCCGCACTTCGCCAAAATCTTGTCAAAGTCCATGGCGATCCGCTGTAGCCGTGTCGAGTACGCCCGGAGATTCAACGGCGCTGACTGACCCAACAAAAGCTCGCGAAACACTTGCTGTGATTAGCGTGATTCCGCTTATCACTTGATGCTCTAAAATATAATCGTTTTATTACTTTTTTTTTAGTGCTTTTAGTGCTCTACGCTCTTCGATAAGCGGCGTCTTCTCACAAGTGCGACCCGAGCATTCAACCCGGCTGTGCCGATGCAGCGCGACGCCATGACGCCAAGTTCAAGCAACAGTAAACCCCAAATAAAGTGGCACAGTGGTTCCTAAGGAAGCACACGCGCAACAACAAAATTAAATCGGTTTCTGATCCGCACTTTTCGCATATTTTATAGAGTTTTTAAGAGCGACACTCTATCGATAAACAAGTAAAATGTGCCACTACCGATAATTTTTTGATCTATTCCACAAGCTAAATTACTAATGAATATGTATTGTAATCTATTAAAAAATAATAACAATACTGTTGCTAACAACATTTTTAAAGAATTTAAAATATTTATATAATACTTTAAATAATTATTTATTTAGTATTCCCATATCATTTATCTTCTGACAAAATCATTCATTTGGGAAGCTTCGAAGCGCTTTGCATAAAAAATGTATTGTTATTTCGCCACTATATGGAGAGCTTCATTGCGATTTCTTTTTTAATTGTCAACATTGAACACTTAACGATAATGTCATAGAGCCAAACGACTTTCTTGGTTCTTTATCTATGTTTGTTAAAAGAATTGAAAAGATAAAGATATCGTAACTATGTGCTAACTTTTACTGTCGTTTGCACCTTAAATTTTATAGTAATGCCTAGCTTTTGTATATTTTTTACTGTTGATAGCAGTACTAGTTATGAGAAGCCTCAGTCGAAGATTGGGTCTGTAACTATAGAGAGACATGCAAATGGTTTTCACACATTTTTGGCTTACTTGTAAAATTCAAATATATGGAGTGCAAATTATTTGTGTCTGATCATGGGCTACATACTATATTTCAAAATTGCCTGATTTTAAAACATGACTTACCTTAGTTTATATTCGTAGTTTTAAATAATTTGTTCAAAGTTTTAATATTTTTCTTCTCACGACTCCCAGCATACGTTGTAAGTTGATAGTTTATATTTAAGAAATGGAAATGTCTTGTGTAGTATTGGTTACTTATAATAATGGGCTTTAAAAACAATTTCAAAATAAAAACTCATACTTACAAATTCACACTGCAACCATCAATCAAATGTTTCGGCTTTATTTTTCTTTTTATCAAGTTCCACTGTACTATAGAGCGGTTGCTTTTGATTCATTCAAATTTATACTTTTAATTAAGCGTCTCTTCCTATTCTCAATTCCCGTGTTGCTGTTCCGTATCGGCGTTTCTACTTAAGAAGCGCAGTCTTTACTACGCCACTGAAAGTCGAACATGCGCTCTCCCCGCTCGAACAGTTCGCAGTTTCTTGTTGCGTGTCTCAGGCAAGAGTGAACACACACAGTTACCAATAGAGAAGAGCAAGCACAGCACTTTGGACGACAGCGACTTCAAATAGTCGCGTAAGAGTAGTAAAGTACATAAAAAAAAAACTGACGATGTATCCGTTGCCAATTGTTGTTGGTATGAGGTCAGTGGCGAACCGAAGGCCAGAGACCAAGCAACCGGAGACGCCAAAGCGTACATACAAAGTACATCGTAAGAATGATCGAACAGGCTGTTCAAAAACGGAGCCAACTGAGAGCACAAGACTCTTCGACGGAGAGAGCATTTCATTGATAAAAAAAAAAAGCACCACACGACCGAAACAAGACTGCTGTACGTAAGAGCATTTAAAGAGAGCATAAGGAATGGCGAATTGCTGGGTCCCTCCACATCGGCCACAATGGCTGTGAAACGGAAGCATGTGATTGTGTTGGAAAAATTAAGCATTTGTGAATGAAATTTCTGCTTGACTTACAAAATCATGAATGACTTCAAAGCAGTTTTGCACTGAGTTATTCTTTAACAAGCTTACTGACAATATTTGCAAAATGCCACAAAGTCGTCTTCACTGACTATTCGTCTTTTGGCTTTGGCCGCTCATTTCATAAAAATTAAATAAAACAAATAATTTTTAAAAATTGGTTTCATACTTAAGTATAGTGAATATTTCCTGTGTTACGGTATGACGTACTAAGATATTTACATTATTGAACTTCTAAATATATCCCAAATATACACCTGATTCTGTTTTTACACGGTCTTTTTTACAGGTTTTTGATTTAAAATGGTTTGAAAATTACAAATTGATTGACGACTTTATTCCATTTAGCACGTTTCAAAATAACATTCCAGACTTCTTCTGGAACCAATCTACCGTGTAAAAACAGAATTATGTACTTCAATTTAATTGAAACCCTCCAAAACTAAACTAAAGAAATTGACAGATTCATCTTTTGATGTTGTATGTTATGTTATGTTTACTGGGGATATCGAAAATATCAGCTGAATAATTATATTAATTTATATTAAACAAAAAAGACACGACGTATTCAATTAAAAATTGAATTGAATTGATGTGCGAGAACAAACTGGCAGCGGTCGCTGAGAAGGCTGCAGCATTAAAAAGCTCGTCTGCACTTAAAAGCTCTGCCTGCAAAGTAAGACCAAGAGCGCAGAGATCGTGAAGAGATGAAAAAAGAGAAAGAGAGAGAGAGACTACGCAAGTAAAGATATCATAATTGCAAGCAGAACCAAAACAAACATACCCCAAAAGGCATTTGATCTTGTTCATCGGTTTGTTTTCTTATTAATTATCAGTTTATTTGAAAACATTCATTTAAACGAAACCATCTCTATGAAAATATACACATATGTATGTACATATATGTTTTTTATGTGGGTTAAATGTATTTAAGAGTAGGGCCCGCATGACAGTAGCAACCATCTATTCTTCTTTGATGGATCATTAATGATTTCGAAAAAAAGAACGACAATGCATTTTATAAAATTACTTGTGAAGTTTCTGTAAATATAAATATTGTATAGAGTATGTCGTCTTCACTGACTATTCGTCTTTTGTTTTTGGCCGCACATTTCATTCGCTTCACAACTCTTTTATTATTGCCGCCATTTTTTCAGCACAATGCAGTCGAAGATATACAAAATTACAAACAAAATTAAAGGAGAAAATAAAAAATAAAACCAACATTTAAATTTAAAGTAATTTGACTTATTTTTCGAATATTTCAAACCTTTCTGCTTATACTACTTTATTTTATTGAAGCAATGTGAGGTGAAGAAGAGTTCAGATATCCCCTACTTTTGAATGAAACTCGTTAAGTTATCTTAAGTATAATAAACCTTATCAACACTAATATTTTTCTATATATATCCCAAAATTTAACGATAAAAATAATTTTAGTTTAATTAAAACCATCCACAACCAAACTAACGCTTGTACGCGAACCTCTTACGATGTAAAGGTTAGCAATTAAAAGCAGCATCATGCATAACTTATTATTTTAAACGTGCATTATTTAATCAAAATTAGATTTTTTTATATACTATTTTTTACATACTATATCAGAAAAGGAAATTTTTTTGTTTTAGTGGGAGTGACTGGAGTGGAGGGTATTTAAGAATCGACTATATCGTTATTTTCGTCTCTTATTCTTCTGATATAGACGCATATAACATGGCGGTACAAGTTTGTTTGGTTACAGGGTATTTCACTGTCGGACTGTCACTTGTACCAATCTTCCTTTTTTTTTAGCAAAAATTCGTTTCGTTTGACTCAAAACTATTTCACTGACTTGCAGTTATTGTTTTGCAAATTTGAGCTCTCTTGCCATTTTTATTATGCTAAGTATATGTTATTAAAACTTTCTGCATAGATATAGAAATTGATATTGATTTAAGTAATACATTATGTACATAGAAATTTGTCGATATGTATATACAAGTATATTTTTAAATATCAAATCATATATTAAGGGCTTTTTGTAAAAGTTCAGTATTTGAAATAATAGATTCTGGACCTATTGTTTAGATCTTTAATAAAACATATCGTACACTCCTCTAAAACATCTTTATTTTGTTGTATTTGAAGCTTGCTTGCCTATTTATTTGTTTAACTTTATTAAGCAGCAATATATATTGTATATTTTTAATTAAGTACATATGTTTATTGACAGCCCATACTTTTGATTTAATAAATAAATCCATTTCATGTTTAATGGCATCTAATCCTTGAATCTGTCCGCAAGATTTATTTGTTTTGCAAGGGTAACCACAGAGAAAGCCAATTTTGCCACCTAGAAATCGAGAAAGTTGTATAATTCTCCAAAACTAAGTATACTTATAATTATCATTAATTACGGTTATGTTAGAGTTCAAACAAATGGTGAAAATACCGCCTGCTTTAAAAATGATGGGCCTCTGAGCATTCTGAATAAAATATAGTAGAGTCTTTCGATAGCGCCGACTAGCGTTTATCCAATTCGAGTGGAACAAGTCGCTGCCGATCTGCTCGCTCTCATACATTATCGAATTACATAGGAAGCAGAACGGAAATGTCTCTGCCAACAGACCTATGACGTACACGATAGTGGGGGGACCAGTCCAAATGTCCCAAAAGATCATCAGATTAATCAGAGAGATGCCCAACGAGACGCCAATGAGCAGGAATTGCACAAAAATCGTACCAGAAATGATGGGCCGAAGATTATTGCAATACCTGAATCAGAAACTTTCTCTGAGAAAAGATTCAATATAAGAAAAACTTCGCACTTACATAATAATCAAGCGATGGTCGTCGATGCATTTCATCAGCTCCGCATAGTTTTGAGGTTCGCTTAGCTCAAGGTCTGAGCGCAGCTGAGTAATTCGCATTTTGAGAGTTATGATATGTCCACGGATAATTAACATATAGACGATGGGATAGGAGTCAGCCAGCTGTTGCATGAACACACAGCACGACATCATGAAGAGCTCAATAAAAGCAGAAGTCCAAAATTTTGCTGAGCTCTCGCGCCAATTGACGAGGGGATTATAAAATTTCCAGGCCATCTCACCTTGCAATACGGCACCCAGAAATGTCGAAATGATATACAAGACGTACAAAATCTGAAAGTACATATAGACCATATTGCAGTTGGCCACCGTTTGGTGAACTTTGGCACGTTGATCATCGGATATGCAACGCTTATCCAGGCGGTCCAAGAGAATATTTGCCTGCTCGAATCGCCAAATGCCCAGAAGTATAAAAGTGACCTTAAAGACACTACCACAAGAATTCAGACCCACTTGCACCGAATTAATGAACTGGGCCGGTGTAAAGCTGTTCAAGTCCATAAAGTAACTCCCAAAGAACGCCATGGGCACAAAGCACAGCCCGCAGATTAGCGTCGTCAGGGTCCACAGTCTGTAAATTCTGTGCCAGTGCTCATTTTTGGGATACATCCAGCCGGCTGCTCGCATTCCGCGATCCATGTAGATAAAGGCATCTCGAGACTGCACAATTTCCGATAAAGGTGCTGGCTTTACAAGCGGAAAAACCTTGTGGAGCATTCTGCGAGTGGAGTGCTCCGAGTTTGTTCAAATTTTGATATGAAACGTTGACTCAAATTCTTGGGCTTAAATATCCAAAACTTTGTTTGTTGTGGCTCTTAAACGCTGTCATTATTGAGTGGAAGGATATATGAAATTATGAACACGTGAACAAAAAGGATGACTTGCACGATGAAAAAATATAACATTTTTTGCAATTACACGGGACATGTCGCACGAGACATTTTGTCAATCATGATATATTTCTGTTTTCCCATTGTTTGCATTTTTTACAGAATTTCATATAAAAGAAGCTTAATAAAAATGATAATATAAATTGGTTTTCAAACTAAAAGCAGCTCCCATTAGAAAAATAACATATTTTATAAAAAATATTTATTTTATTTTATAATATAAATCATTGTTTCTTAATATGTATAGCACTATTTGTTGATTTATTAAATAAAATAAAAAATAGCAAAAATACCAAAAACATCACATTTTGCTCTCCACCGCCCACTATTTTCGCCTCAATATTTATTCATCCAAATTTTAATCATTTTTTAAAAGTATCTATGTATACTATATACTTGTACATACAAAAACTTATCATAATGTGAAAAACAAAATTTCAACTTTTAAAATTTCACACTCACGATATTAATTGTATCAATTCCACGATCTTATTTTTTAGCAAGTGTGCTTTTTTTCTTGCATTCGAAATCTCTATATGAACATATTTTTATACCCTGTACCCGTAGGGTAAAAAGGGTATATTAGGTTTGTGCAAAGTATGTAACATACAGAAGGAAGCATCTCCGACCCCATAAAGTATATATATTCTTGATCAGCATGACGAGAGAAATCAATCTAGACATGTCCGTCCGTCTGTCCGTCCGTCTGTCCGTCCGTCTGGATGAACGCGAGGATCTCAGAAACTATAAAAGCTAGAATAACCAAAGTTGGCATCCAGATTCACCTAGGTCCGAGAAAGGACGAGTTTATTTTATTTTTTGGAATTTTCCCCCCCCTTCCCCCGCTACAGAATTTCGTCAATAGCGTCAACATTTCAAATGCTACCTAAACTAAACTTTGCACACATAATTTATATATAATTGTCTACTGTTGTTCAAAATTTTTTTTTTCAATTCGGTCAATTCTAAGAAAAGTTATTAGCGAAACAAATTCTCGCCAGTACAACCTCCACAAACTGCAGCAACAAGTTCGTTCTTCTTATTCCTCTTTTTGCTGCTGCTATGGGCGCATATAACTCAGTGACGGAAGTTTACCTGGGTACAGGGTATTACACTGTCGGGCTTTCTCTACTGTAGCGTTCTCTCTTGTCGAATATTTATTTTGTTTTCCATTTTTCCCTATTTTCCATATTTTGAATGTATAGTGTTTTTGTCTAGTGCAAATAATGTCATGAAGGAGGCGTGGACCCTACAATCCCTACAAAGTATATGCAATGTTATATGTGTTTCTTTTCCCTTTTGCTCGAATATTTCAAATGATTTTTAAATTTTTCTTTATCTGATTGAATGAAATATTTGTAAATGATTTCAATAATGAAAGTGAATCGAACTACTACATAAGATAACATTAAAATATTTGTAGTTTTAATGTGTCGTATTATATATGTACATCATAAACGAATTAGAATCAGCGGCCAAACCCGACACAAAACCAGAAATGGAGTATACCGTAAGGCTCGTTGTGAAAACAGTTAACAATTTAGCCACGGAACCACACAAATTGCCTAAGATCAAGGTCTTAACGCGTCCAATTCGATCCCCGATACAACCGAAAACAATAGTTCCGAGTACCGAGCCATCGAAAAATAAAGATTGGCCAACTCGTGACTTATATGCTGAATCGCAGACCCATTTAAACTAGAATTGTAAGTAAAAAATATTAAAAACTATCGGCATATTACAAGTTCGATTTCACTTTCGATAAAATCATGTTAAAAACTTAAGAAACTCTGGTGAGATTTGAATTGCGTTTGGAAAGCTATATCACCACTGCGTTCATGCTTCTGTATCCATAATCGTATTTGTAAATTCCTCGATCTCTTCTTGAATGGAGCATATAATGCTCCATTCATGATAGCACCAGTGCTGAAGCACAAAGGCGATAACATACTGTGAGGGGTAATGCATCAGTACGACGAACGAAATATAGCCCCTAACAGCCAAAAGCAGATATTGATAGCGGCTGTTGTTGCCGCACTTGGCGAGTATCTCATCAAAATCCATGCTGAAAAGCTTTAAACGGGTATGACAAGTTTCAAGAATTGAATTAATGCAAAATTTATTTGTCACGGTTCTAAGAACAACCAACCGCTCTGCAGAACATCAAAGCACCGTCTAAGATATTTGTGAAAACGCGTGGCTATATTTGAGAAAATATATTAAACAAACGCTCAGCCTCTACTTATATCACATATATGTATTTATATTGATGGGTCCGGCCCACTATGCAGCGATTGCTTTAGACTCAATCAAATTAATACTCATTCATTCATTCATTAAATACTAATTAGCAGCGTCGTCCTACTCCGCTCTCATGAGTTTCTCTCCCGCTTCAGTGGTGTTCACTGTCTCCTCAGTATTCTTGTCTCGCCTCAGAAAGTCAAACATTCGCTCTCCGCGGCCGAACTGCTCGCCATCGGCCAATGTTATGGGGAGTTTCTTGTTGCGCGTCTCAGGCAGCAACAAACACACATAGCCACCCGTTAAGAAGAGCAAGCACAACACTATGGACGGCAGTGGCTTGAAATAGTCGCCCAATAGTAGTATATACGGGGATAAAAAACTGACGATGTATCCAGCCACGTGGACCGCTGCCAGTCCTCTCGAACGCACACATGTTGGAATGAGCTCGGTGGTGAACTGAAATCCTGCGCCCGTGCACACCGAAATGCCGAAGCGAACACACATCATGAGAGCGATGAGCAACAGAATGTTTGTAGCGCCGTATTGTGAGAGTACAAGACTCGTGATCAGAGAGAGCAGTGCACTGATAAACATGGAGAAGCATACTGTCGGCTTGCGGCCGAAGCGAGACTGCAGTTCGGCCTGCAACAGACCCGATGGCAGCACTGTGAGAGCATTCAGAGAGAACATGACGAACGGTGAAATGCCCAGACCCTCAACGTTGGGAGCAATGGTGGTGTAGCAGGAGCATATTATTACGCTAGGATGGAAAGCCGTTGTCAATAAAATGTATTGAAATAGCAATTGCATGACTTACAAAAGCAACAACAACTTGAAAGCAGTTTTGCGCATGCGCGGCGTCTTGAGCATATCGATGAGCTGCGTCTCTTTTTGCTGCGTCTTTGGTGATTCAGTTTCGTGAGCTATCTCACAATATTTGCGAAACGCCTCAAAATCCTCTTCGCCGACTATTCGTCTATTGATTTTGGCCACTCGTTTCAGTCGCTTCACAGCTCCATCGACATCATTGCGCGTGACTAGCCATTGTGCACTTTCTTGGACCAAAAAGAAGAAGCTGGTAATCACCAATAAAGGCAGTGAAGAACACAACAGAAAGCTCCGCCAGTAACCAACCCAAACCGCCAGCCAAGCGGAGGCGATCATTCCAGCGCAGTAGGAACTGGTGTACACAGTACTCAGGGCTCGATTGCGTAGCGAGGGCGAAACAAATTCAACCACTGAAAGAAAAATTGCACTATTTAAAGAGTTTCATTTTTTTCATGGCTCGAATTTTGCCTTTTTCTGTACACCTGTAATTCTGTTCTTACACTGTCTTTTTAAACACGGTTTTAATTTAACAAATTACAACACGTTACTTATGAAAATAAAAAAGAAATTAAAAATGTTATATATGGTTGGACGACATTATTCCATTTACCACGATTTTTAATAACATATGATCAATGTCTCTTTTTTTACTCGACTTTTTTAGGAACCAATCTACCGTGTAAAAACAGAATTAGGTGTATTTTTTTCGCCGAATGCTAAAAACTTTTCCACTTCTGAATAATAATCCATTGTTCAACTTTCAACTGTTTCTATAGAAATTTTTGTTCTTATGTATTCTTCTTTTCATTTTCTTTTAGAAGCTATAAATGGTAATAGTTTCAGAATTTTAATGAGATGTATGAAAAGTGAATATCACAACAGTTTTTAAAACTACTTTGGCCAGCACATTGAAAGCATTTCGAAGTCAACTTAAAATTTCCAAAAGTAAGTGAAAATTTTTGAGATTGAACGAACAGCTTCAAAACAACTATAGCCATTTATCTTTGAAATTTATATAAAAGGATTATAATGGCAAACATACATTTCTTTGGATTATAGTGATTATCTTTCAATTTTAAAAAAATTAAAAGTTTTTCAATATTTTACAGCTACAAAATATTATTTTCTTGACATTGTGAAGCACTACTCACCCAATATGTACATGATATAGGTGTTGGATTCGGCGGCCATACCCGACACAAACCGACTAATGGAGAATCCCGTGAGACTATTTGCGAAAATGGTTGAAAATTCTCCCACGAAACCGCACAAATTGGCGAAGACCATGGCCTTAACGCGTCCAACTCTATCTCCGAGCCCACCAAAGATAAGAGTGCCGAACACAGAGCCCACAAAGAATAAAGATTGGCCGACTCGTGCCTTATATGCCGAGTCGCAGACCCAATTAAGCTATAAAAAAAGATGCTTGATAAATAATGCTAATAACTAAAGTTTCACTTTCGTTTAAGCAAATTCATTTCCATGCAGAGATTTCAGTTCATTTCAACCGAATAATGGCTTTAATGCGCAAAACTTGATATTACCTCTGTGTTCATGCTTCTATATCCATAATCGTATTTGTAAATCCAACGCTCACAGACTTCGCTGCTGACCGTGACATTGTTGCCCTCGATTTCTTCCAGGCGGGTGCATGAGGGGCTTTTAAATTGAGCATAAATGGCCTCGATTTCGGTAAAGCTGCGGTTCTCCAGTTGCTCATGATAGCACCAGTGCTGAGGCACAAAGCTAATTATATTCTGTGAGAAGAATTGCATCGAATTGACGAACAAAAGATAGCAATACGCTGCCAAAAGCAGATATTGATAGCGACTGTGGTTGCCGCATTTGGCGAGCAGCTCATCGAAATCCATGTTGAGCAAGTTTGGCAACAAGTTTGATAACTTTTTGGATCTTTAATCAACAATCAAGGTGGGGGCGTCGCGCTTTTCAAAAACGTTCGACTACTCTCCGAAGCCGCCAAACACCTACTGAGGCGTTTCGTGAACTAGCTACGATTAGTAAAGCTTTGAGAGAAACTAAACACGCGTGGCTCTATTTAAGAAAACATATTAACGCAGTTCTCATTTACGATTCCAAAACTGATAAAAGAGTTCGTTATTTATTGGGCAAACGCCATACTTATACTTAGTAGTCGTCTTTCCCAAGTCAATGTTTACTAATCAAGTAATGCTTACTTGATAGTTAAGTGCATCGTTCTGTTTTCACGCGATTATGATGGACTGATTGTATTTTAAATAAATGTACAATAGAAAACCAAACAGGAATTCTAGTGTCGCGCGGGCACAACTCTTAAATACTCTATCCCTTCCAGACCCCACGCCAAGCCATTGAATATTTGTTTATGATTTTTGAAATATATGGCATTTATATTTTATAAAAATATTTTCCCAATGTCTAGGTTTTGCAATTTTAATATCCTTCATGATTTTTTTTTTGCAACAAATGACTGAAATTCATTTTTAACACTAAAAATTTTTTTACAAAATTTTAAATGCGTTAATTTCACTGTTTATTTAATTCTAGATTGAATTGTCTTTTTTATTCTGCAGCTTGTTTTGTCAAAACTAAAAAGTTTCTCGAGAAATTCAAGTAACGGTAAAGGGAACCGCGAAATAATGTGAGAAACAAACGTAAACAATAATATGAACAATCGATACGTTTAGGTCTTATAAACATTTTTCAAATATAAGTAGAAGTATTTTGTACATAAGAAGGTAAAATCGATCAAAAAAATTTATGTACAATTAAAATTTCACTTTTTATACCCTGTACCCGTAGGGTAAAAATGGTATATTAGGTTTGTGCAAAGTATGTAACATACAGAAGGAAGCATCTCCGACCCCATAAAGTATATATATTCTTGATCAGCATGACGAGAGAAATCGATCTAGACATGTCCGTCCGTCTGTCCGTCCGTGTGGATGAACGCGAGGATCTCAGAAACTATAAAAGCTAGAATAACCAAAGTTGGCATCCAGATTCTCCTAGGTCCGAGTAAGGACGAGTTTATTTTATTTTTTGGAATTTTCCCCCCCTTCCCCCCGCTACAGAATTTCGTCAATACCGTCCACATTTCAAATGCTACCTAAACCAAACTTTGCACACATAATTTATATATAATTGTCTACTGTTGTATAAAATTTTATTCATTTCGGTAAATTCTAAGAAAAGTTATTAGCCAAACAAATTCTCGCCAGTACAACCTCCCCAAACTGCAGCAACAAGTTCGCTCTTCTTCTTCCTCTTTTTGCTGCTGCTATGGGCGCATATAACTCAGTGACGGAAGTTTACATGGGTACAGGGTATTACACTGTCGGGCTTGCTCGACTGTAGCGTTCTCTCTTGTTTCCTTTCAATTTTTTAAATTTCTATAATTATTCTAAAGGGTTATAATAATAAAAAATTAAAAAAAAATGTTTTTTTCATTTAATTAATTTAAATTAATTAAATAAATTACAATCCTAAACACAATACCCAAGAAGGTATAATCGATCAACATTTTTTTTGTAAAATTACAATTTCCTCTCTTTTTTGCTTTCCACTTTTTAAATTTCTACTTATAATTATTCTAAAAGGCTATAATAATAAAATATTACAAATTTTTTTTTAATTTAATAAATTACAATTCCAAACACACAATACAAAAAAATGTTTGTAAAATTAAAATTTAATCACTTTTTTCCTTTCCACTTTTTAAATTTCTATAATTATTCTACACAGTCGGATTCGTTATTAGATATTTTTGTCATTTTTTTTATTTCTTTAGTTTTACCTATCTTAAGTTCTCTATGGTATTGAACATCGACTGCACTGTTTGTCGATGGAAATAAATAAAAAAAAATAATAACAAAAAAATTTCAAAGTAGGGGCACTCGACATTAGCTTGATTTGAGTTTAGTGAAGTGGCTCATATTCTAAAGTTTTATACATATTATAAATTTATTTATAATATTTATTTATATGTATATAAAAACGATTAGTACATAAAACACTCTTAGTAGCAAATATTCAGTTAATTGTGGAATCGTAACAAAAGTATGGGCTCATGTATTTTTTTTAATGCCTCACTCTATATAATCTAAAATATTTAAAAAATTTTTGTCATATAGTTGCCTAAGAAATGCTCGATTCAAAAATTTATATTTGTTCTAAACACATTTCAATTTATTTCGATGTCTTAATCAGGTTTTGGGCTTGCACGTTTCTTATAGTGCCTCAGCATAATCTGAAGTGTTATCAAAATCATATTTTCGTTAAATCTGCTTTAACTTAATTGACACTAAGATAGTTCATTTTATTAAAGAATTCTACCTTATTTACTTAAAAAAACGAATCTGCGATAGTTTTTTTTTTTCTAAATAGCTGGATAACTAATATTATAATGTTGAGCAGACATTTGTTGAGGTGAATAAAAATGCACAACTTGCGAGACCAGAAAATTCAATTTCGGAGCTACAAACAAACTTTGAATCGTCTGTAAATTTTGTAGATTGGAATGCTAGTTATGTATTTAAAATGTGATTTGGTATTCATTTCATTCGATGTATGCGATCTGGCTTTAGTCTTTTCGGATAGTCTTTGTAAACCAGTTCCAAGAGAAGAGCAACTTTTAAGCGACCTCCCAATTCCGAAACAGTTAAAGCGGAATTCAAAAACACAGTTGATTAGTTGGTGACAAAAGAGAAATGATTTAAGCAGACTGAGCTTTTCAGATAAAACTGCGTATGCATGTCTTAGCTCCCAAATTCAATTTTAATTCATATGCAGCGGGAGATGACAACTTGTTGTTTAAAGTTTTCCAGCTTCAAAATTTTTACTAACGGTATATCTATAAGATTATTTTGGAAGGGTGATGACACACAATAAAGAAAACGCTGCAAAATTATAATTTTTTTTTTTGGTTTTTTATTTTATTTATTTTTTAAATGTTTTTTGCCTTCAATTACAATTGCCATTTAAATAATTACTTGCCTACATTTGTTGCCTTTAAATATTTTAGCTCTAAATTAGAAATGTGTTTTTAGTTTTAGTTTTTGTTTTTGCTTCGCTTCATTCATTCACATGTGATTTACTTTTTATAAATGTAGTAAACGCAATATATTTTTGTTTAAATGTATGTTGATAACATGATAGATCTTAGATGTGTACAAATTATTACATTTTGCTTGCTGGCTTAAATACATACATACGTATATCGAACTGTACATACATACATTACATGCTGCAAATAGGTATGTTTGTTAACTAAATTTGCATAACAACTAAAAACTTGCTGCACTCTAAACTAAATTTAAATTTGAGAATACATATAGCGCACACAAGTGGTGTGCTTAGTCTTATCAATATAGTACATATGTAGATATATTTCAAGACCTTTTCAAAGGGTTCTCACATAAATCATTGATACATACATTTCATAGTTTCTCTTGTAAATAATAAATACATAAGAGGAAATAGATATACAATACATACATCAGACGTAGATAAAAATCATTATACAAAGACTTGTTGCTGTCCATGCTATTCTATATACAAAAATACATACAATACATACAAATGTTTGATTAATGAATAAGAAAGAGTTGCCAAAGTTTGCGCAAATTGCGTGTTTTTTTTTTTTTTAATATACATACTATGTGTATATGCTGTTTATATTTAAAAGTTTTACGGAGAGTTCAGAAATATTCAAAATTCTTTATAAAGTTGCACTTTTTTTAGAATTGAAATTCATGAACTCACCGCTGCGCATAAACCTGCTAAAATAGACTAGTTGAAATATTTCCTTTAATAATGCGCGATATATGTTTTTATGAAATATATTTCTATTGGGCTAGTTATATACGTAAGTGTTTTAAAACGTATTGCCTGGTTAAAATTCGTTAACTTTTCAAATGCTGTTACTGCCGCTGCCAAACAAAAAAAAAAAAAAAAAAAAAAAAAACAATAAAGGAACTTTAGGAAATAAGTCGAAAGCTGAAATGTGAAAATTTAAGTGCATTCAATGCTATCATAAAAGGTTTCTTCATCTTCAGCTGCCTCTAGCTCATCATCGTCTTCAACTTCCGGCTCGAAATCGTCAACATCGTAGGAGATGAGGGACTGCAAGCTGATGCCCTCAACCTCAGGCCACTTGTGCTGGACGTGGTGAACCTTAAAAGCCTGGGCATCATTGCTGGCGCCAGCTGCTGGACCAAACCAAATGGCCGCATCATTTCCATCATCATCCTCAGCATTGCCGACAGCCTGAGCTGGAGGTGGAGTTGGAGGTGGCGCCTCAAAGGAATCGCAGTAACCATAATCGAAGGTCACCAGCAAATTATCGCTGCCACAGTCCAGAGAGTCGGGTTTAGTGTATTGTGTCTCATACGAATCGTAAGCTGTCTCCCCGGACGCCACACGCTCGATGGGCAACTTTTCGAACTGCTGAGCTTTAAGCTCCAAGTTGTCATTGTTGCTGTTGTTGTTGTTGTTATTGTTATTGTTATAGTTGTAACATGTCTGCCATAATTGCCAATTGTTGTTATGGAAACCACAATTTGGTTTGCTCATTGCATTTACCAAATTCTGAGCAACGGGAGGGAGAGAGAGAGACGTAAGAGCATTGGAGCGGGAGATTGGGAGAGAGTAGAAAGAGATTCAAACATTTTAGTTCAATATTATGTTGCATATATATTTTAATTCATTTTGAATGCACAAAAAACACAAAGAAAATAAAAACAAAATGAGAGGGGCTAGCAAATTGATTAGAAACAATTGATTAGAATAGAACACAAAAATTATTGATTAGATTCTTTGGTTTGTTTTATTTATTTTCCTCAACCTTTTTCACGAGATTAGTCAGCACATGTTTAGCACGATATTTACACTGGGCAACAAAACTTGCCATTGAAACTCTGTTTGAATCCTTGGAGTATCGCAAATTTGTTTGCTGTTGCTTGCTACTAAAAAGTTGCAGTGCTTACTTAGAGCCCGTTGGTAAAGTTGGGAGTGCGTGTGTGTGCCCAAAATTCTCTTTGTTGCGGGATTATGTATTAAAAAATTTAAGGGTGCAGCGCTACAAACTAAAAACAAAACAGTACTAAGCAGGTATGCTAAGCCAATGGCACCTGGCACTTTTGTTGTGGGTTGTGTGAAAAGGAACTTAAAAAAGCAATTTGGAACTTAAGCTAAGAGAGTGTGAGAGAGCTTAAGAGAGTGAGAGAGAGAGTGATGTACAACAAAAGAGAGACTTACGCGTATAACGAATTGCGGCAAAGTGTCAAAGTCTTTGTCTTTGTTCAAACAAAAGAGACAAACAGTTTACAACAACAGTACTGTGGGCGTGTAGGTGGACGCCGACGCGGGCTGAGCTGAGCTGAGCTGAGCTGAGGGGGATGATCTTTGCGCCTCCTGTTCTCTGTCAGCTGTCCAAACCAAAAACTCCTTGCGATGTTCACACTCTTACGTTAGCATTATCATGCAGCTTAAATTTTCACCACCAACACGTAACGCCTTAACAATCAATCGATTGATTCAATCAATACACCACCATTATCCAAAATTTTTAGTCCACCAGCTCCGGTTAGGCAATGTTGTTGTTGTTGGTTTTTGTTTTGTTTAAAAAGTCGTTAGGAAAAGTTTTCATAATTGTTTTTAGTTACAATTTTCAATGACCTGTTGTTGGTTTATTTTTGCAGTTCATAGATTTTTTTGCAAGGATATTTTTGGTACGGGCAGTTGTTTTTTGTTTTGGATATACAAGATACATGTGAGTTATATAGGACAAACAGCATAAATATTTGTTTGATGTTTTGGTTGGTTTTTTGGTTGGTTGGTTTGGGATTTACATGTGGAGTTGGTGGATCAGACATACATGGTACATGGGGCAGAAACGCAGAAAGAAAAAGTAAAGTAAAAAAAAGAAATTACAGCATTAGATACAATTACTCAGTGTAAGCTTTTGTTGGCTGTTTGTTTTTGGGTTTGGCATTAATTCAGCAAACAAAATGAATATTTTAGCTTCTAATTTCACCTTCTTTTTTTTTGGAATTCTTGTTTTTGTGGCGTTTGCAAGCAGTTGTGTAGGTGTGTGTGTTAAGCTGGTTGTACTGTATGATGAGTTAAGGGAAGATGAATATTTGAGACTGGCCGGAAATAATGTATGAGCCGCTGTTGATGTGATGAATGATGTTAAGATTTCTTGAACCTCGAAAAAATACATATGTAATTAGGTTTTGGAGAAACGCTATTAATTATAATCAGTCAGCACTAAAGACATGCATAGTAAATATTATCAATAAAGAAAAATATGATATGATAATTAAGATGGTCATCTTCGAATTCCATCGAACGCGATGGAAATGCAGAATAGTATTGAACAATCGTGGATTAAAAGAAATCTAAATAGTTAAAGCTATGGTTTCTTTCTAGCAAATACAGATTTAGCCTTGAAGCACATTATTTAAATTAAATTGAGAAAACATGGCCAGTTTAAAAACCAGTATATCGCTATTCGATATAAATTTGTAGTTCATCTATCACTTCTATTTTAAAACACCAATAAATTCGATTTTATCAAACAAACATTCCTTATCTGTGAGTTGAAGTTCACAAACATTTTTGTTACCAATTTCTCTTAAATGTGTGCCTTTAGGTTGCGTTGATTGCAATAGTATTGTCGATTATACAAGAACAGGTAATAATTATAAAACATTGTTGATGAACTGCATTAAACGATAACCAAAATGTGTTTATTCGAAAACCAAATTGGTAGAAGTTAGTTAAAAGGAAACAGCCTCAATCCTTTGGCTATAAATCTGATGTTCAAACGGAAGTTGGAGGAGGGTTTTTTGCTGATAGAACTGAAGCAGCTTATTGCATTCAATAATTCTTGTATATTTGTTGACATTGAAGTACATCTATAACGCATATAGACAAAAGTTGACAAATCGTTTTTAGGAATTTACATAAATTATACGTACGATGTAGATGGTCTTAGGATAGTCTTTTTTTTCGGCAAGCAAACTCAAACTTATACAATTATTGTTTAATTCTTATATTTCTGCATGGGATACATATATGCATGTGTTATAAACCCAAGGATGTTTTTTTTTTGCTGCATACAAAATAAATTAAGGAGCATTTAACATAAACTTATATAAATTACAATGATGATTTGAATACACACGAAACTATAGAACTAATGGTATTTGATTTTTCATTTCAACACAATGGGAAATTGGCTTCATTCTCTTAGCTATAGACCCAACAAACATGCTAACAACTAAAACAATAAGCCTAACTCAATTAATTGTTTAAATGAGAAATAATTTACATGGTATCTATTTATGTGTATGCATATGTATGTGTATGTGTATATATGTATGTATGTGTGTATATATTGAATGCGGTTTGTTTAAATTATTTACAACTAAGAGCAGGCGAACAGACAGCGTTATACAGATTAAATATTTATGTAAAACTATACAAAAGGAAAACAAAACAAAAAGAAATTGCAATGCAAGCATAATTTGTTGTTTCTTTTTTTTTGCTACTGCTGCTGTTGTTGTTGTTGCACGACTAATTTTTACATTAAGCAAAGAATGTTGCATGAGGCAGTGAACGTGTTTCTTGGCACCTTTCACTACAAAACAAATCGAAAATTTAATACTTGGCGAGCACAACGGTGCGTATACGTGATAGACATGCTGCGTATAATTAACAAAACCTTTTAACTTGAACTTGAAAAACAGAGCTGCGAACAAGCCCAAGGGATCAAGGAACAATATGACAATAGTAGGTTAATGCGCCAAAAATTATATAAATAATTATTTACTATATTTGTTTTTTACACAGAAGGAAACGGCGTAACTTACATTTATGATCAGAAGGTACAAAGAAATACAAAACAAATTTTTAAGCATTGTCTAAAATTGTTTGTTTACCAAATTACAAATTACAATAATACTTTAATGTTTTTACAAAATTGCTTCATTTTTCGATGGCTTTTAAATTTCCAAGCGAATGTTTGAAATAATTTCTTTCTGTTCATACTCCTAACTTGCAATTTTTGTGAGAATAGTTTTTAAATAATATTCCTCCATTTATGTTAACAATGTTGCGCGGTTTTCTACTTCGAGAAAGTCCCTCTCTAACCTTGAATTTCGAATTTTTATATTTTTAAGACCAGTTAAGTCTGATGGTTGCAGACACACAATTCGGTGGCAAATCTTGAATTCGATTTCGAAAATCTTCCGGAGTTGAATATAGAATTAAGATTTAAATCAAATTTGTTGAAGAGATATAATCAAATTCAAAAATCAGAACATATCCGATAAAGTTAGTTATAAAGATAGTCATAAATCTCGCTACTAGCACTTTTGAGAAACTTTTGAAATTCAGAATCGTTTATTTAACAACATATAGGGAAAAATAACTTTGTGATTCTTTCTATTTGATTCGTTTCTAAATAATTTATGCCTTACTAGTAATTTGCAATTGACAAATATATTTTTTTTTTCGTATTCATTTAGGCGCCGGAAGCCATTTTTGGAGTTCGAAAACCAAACTCAGTTTGAATATTAAGTAAGTTACGCCTTTTGTTTCGATGTGTGATGATTTGTGGGTTGAATTTCTTGTTGTATGCATTGTAGGTTAATCGCATGTATACAGACAGATAGATAGAAATATGTATGTGTTGGTATATATTGGATAAATAAATAAATAAGTATGTATATGTTTGCATGTATGCACGCAGTATATGTTTATATATTATGTATGTATATAGTTTAAATGTAAAAGTATGCTGCTGGTTGTAGCTGCTGTTGTTGTTTTCTCTGATATCTTTTTGATTCTGTTGATCTAATATTTTGAAACTGCTGCTGTTGTTGTTGTTTTTGTGTTGATGGTTGATAAACAAACGCATATATATATATATATATATAGATTAATCAGTATGCATCTCATTATTATCAATATCAGTATCATAATAATTATTATTCAAGATTTGAACCAACCCAAAAAAGTTGATTTTAAAGTGCGTACCTTGCCACTATCACTATCGCCATAGCTGGATGTGGGCGTGCCAGCACCAGCACCAGCACCAGCGGTGGTGCTGTCGGTGTGCCGAGCGGCTACAGAGGCGCTGCTAAAGCGACGCGTTACACGCTCTGCTGCACCACCACTGCCACCACTGTTACCACCACCGGTGGCACGTCGCTGAAAGGTCTGCGCCGCCGATGAGCTCAGTTGCAGATCCTGACGCAGCGTGGAATTAAGTTGCGCTGCTATGGAGCCAGCACTTGGTTTCAACGGCGCCATTGTGTTGGACAGACGCGCCTTCATCGCCTCACGCTTCAGCCTCGGCAGCGGCGAGTTCTGCAGCACTCTGGGGGACGGAGTTGTATTGGCTGTAGTCGTTGAAGTTCGTTGACCACCACTGCCAGTCCCACCCCCACCGGAGGATGAGGAATAGGGTGTGGTTGCCAGCGGTATGGATGAGCTCGTCGAACTGCGACTTGTGTTGGTGCTCAGTGAATGATTGGATGCATCTTTTCGGCCACTAATGCTTTGTGCGGAATCGGCGCGTTTCAGACTCTGCGGTGATTTCCCAAGCTGCAAATTTCCGGTGCTACGACTTAGCGAGCTGCGACTGGAGCCGTACGAAGTGCTCGATGTGTTGGCCGAGGGCGGTGAGCGAGCTGCCGTTGAGGAACGACCTGTTGGTGGTTTGCCAGCAGCTCCAAAATACGCAGCCGCTTTGCTGCCCGGTAAAGGAATCTTGCTGGGCTTGCTGGCCGATTGGAATTTGCGAAAAGCGGCACCACGTGGCGGTGTCTGCTCAAAGGGACTGACGCCACCGACACTGGTGCTCATCACACGTGCGCTTATGCTGCCCGCTGCCGGTCCTATTCCTGCACTCGCACCCCCTGCTGTTGAGGTGGGCGTGCTGCTGCCAATGGGAGCCAACATATTGGTCATTGTCTTGCTTTGCGTTTCATCGTGCGTCAGTTCATGCTCATGGGCAGATTCAGTGCTGCTGCTATGCTGTTGCAGCTCATCCATGGGCAGATGCACCATTGCCTTCATGCTGGGCGTGCTGATTTGTGTGGCCTGAGGCTGCGGCATTGCTGCCAATGGCGATGTTGTGGACACGGGCGTGCTGGAGCGTGCCTCCACAGAGTCAACCAGGCCGCGTCGACTTAGCATCAGTGTGGTAGAGGCAGAGGAGCGATTGGTCTCGTAATCATTCTGTGAATGCAGATACGAGTTTGTCGCACTGGGCGTGGAGGCCAACATACGCGACTCCAGCACTCGCAGCTGCGCCTTGGTGCCCTCCAGCTCTATATTCTTCTCCTCCAGCTGAAAGCGCAAGTGCTCATTGTCCTCCTTGTTTTTCTCCAAACGCTTCGCCAGATGTGTCTTGCATTTACTGGACGAGTCTAGCTTTTGCAGCAGCACCTGGTTCTGCACCGTCAGCGTTAGCAGATGACGCTGCAGTTCCAATACATTCGTCTCCAGCAAAATGGCCGAGAAACGTTTTGAGTCCGCAACGCGGCACTTGGTATTGCGTGCGCCCGGCGTACTCACAACTCCATCCAGCCGGCCCAGTGGCTGCTGTTGCTGCTGCTTCCTAAGAAAAGCTGACGCTGCTGCTGTCGTATCACTGCCTGCGCTTTGATGGAATGCTAAGTGTTCGTCCGCCGCTGATGCCAATGGCTGCTGATCAATTACCACAACCGGCTGGAATGTGTTGGCCCGTCGCGACTGCTCCGCCTGTGCCAAGCTGCCATTAGAGAGCACCGTCGTGGCTGAGGATAGAAAGTTGCGTTGACTGGAGTACTCCGATGGGCTGCCACTGAAAGAGCGTAATTAAAAAATATTTAAGTTTATTTTCCCAAAATTATTAGCGGTGGTGGTGTCGTATTTATTGCTATTACTTCTAATTCAATACGGCGACTATTATCTATAGGGAATTTATTTAAAAGCTGTAGAGTGAAATGCATGTCTTATATTCGTCAGATAGATAAACATCAGATACCTCTTCTTTTTAATATTTCTATATCTCTCTACCGTTTGTTGTTAAGATGCTGATCTTTAATTAACTATAGATTGGGGAAATGAATGACATTTGTCAGCTTCTTTATACGTCAGATTTGTATGCGTCAGATGCCACTGCTGCTTGTTTGATTTCTCTCCATTTTGTTCAATTTATGTTTCTGGTGCTCCTTTTGTTTTTTATTTTAAAGTATTTTATAATTATTTTAGTGTACAAATGTGTCTTCTTCTAGGTTTCATTTTTACTTAATTGTTTTGCTTAGATAGAATTGAAAAGCGCTCTAATTATTTACACATCAATTGTCTTCGTTGCTTTGAATCTCTTTATTTATGTATGAATTTATTTTCTATGTCAGAATTGTACGCACCAGCAACTACCGTTGCTTTTTTATATTTTTGAAAAGCTCTTATTGAACGATTTCAGGTTCTTTGAATGAGATTGCAACGGATAAATCTCGATATAATATATCTTAGTCTCACCTGGATGAGCTCTTGTTTTGCTGCTGAAGCTGCTGTACGCGTGAGCTCAGCTCCAGTTTTTGCGCCATGGCCAGCTTCAGCTGCTCCTCGAGATCTTTTTTCACGCTGATCAACTCCTCGACCTGATCGCTCATTTTGGCTGCCTTAATTCGACCCGTCAGAGTTTCCGCCTCCATTTCAGCCAGCTTATCGAGCAAACGATCGCGCTCCTTTCGCAGCTGAGTAATATCCTCGCGATTCAGTCGCTCCACATGCTCTCGGAATTGCTGTGGCGTCATTGTGCTGCCATTCTTCGGACCTTTTGCAGCGTCCACTTCGCTCTGTTGACGCTCATAGGTCTGAAGCTGCTCCACTTCTTCGCGTAAGCGGTTCGATTTGCGATGTATAACGTCTAGCAGGTTAAGCAGCTCATCATCTGATTCGGCACAGCTCAGGCGATTCGATGCTATGGCCACCTAGAAGGCAATTTGAATTTAATAGAAAGCAATGACTAAATAGATATTTGTGTTAAACTCACTGTCATAGCACCATTGGTTGAGGAGGCACTGTGACCCTCCTTGGAGGAACTGGTCTCGGTTGAGAAGCCGGAGTCCTGCACAACGCTGCCGTTGTTGTTCTCTCCACTCTTTGGCTCTTTCTTGCCGCTGTGCGAGTTGCTGCGACTGCGTGTCAACGATGAGGATGACAACTGGGTATCTCCACTGCCACCAGCTGCTGTGGAAACTGCTCCGGCTCCTCCTGCGGACGTTGTGGACGGTTCCTTGTGCGATAATTTCCGTTTCATACGTATGCCAGGCTCCCATTCGCGTCTAAAAAAGCAATATAATATTAGTTATAAACTGTTTCGTATTTTTTAAATGTGATAACATTTGATTCAACAAATGTTTGGAGGATTATAAGAAATATAATATGATTCAATGAAAGTTTTATAATTTAATAAACGAATTAAAATATGTTTTCAAATTAAGACAAAATACCCCAAACTTTGCTATCAAATTGGTTTCGAAGTATCTGCATAACTAAATTGGCTTAGGCTCTAACATTCTACAAGTAAACTAGAATGTTAACTTCAACAAAGTTTTCAAAGAATGTAAAACACCAACAAGTTTTTCTTATTAGTGTATTTTTTTTAGATATGATATAGACATATCGATAATTATCAATTTTAATACGATATCAGTACTATAATTAACAAATATTCGGTATATTGATACAGTTTTATGGTTTATTAATAAAAGTTATTACTACTTTTATGGTAGACTAAATTATATACAAGTATAGTATGTATAGATATTGATTTTGATATTCTGCAAATTATTTGCCCTATTTGTTAAAATTAGTAAACGATATTAAATTTTTGAATAAATCCAAACTGATTTTCCCCTCACCTGGTCGCTAACGATGAACTGCTACTCCCGGACGCGCCCACTGAATGACTGCCGCCTCCGGCGCCGCCCATTACTACCACCGACGATGCGGATGTCGGCGTTGCGGACATGGAGGCCATTTTATGCTTGAGATCGGGAAACGTTTCAATGACCAGATCTCGGAATTCTAGCAGCGCTCCAACCTCGTGCTGAAGTTCCTGCAGCGATTTGGTCTGCTCGCTGTGGATGTGATGATGACTGCCGCTGTGGTGAAGCGCATAGCTGGCATTGCCGTACGGCGTGTGGTGGCTCAGCAGCTGGTGGTGATGATGGTGGTGCATGTGATGCGGATATGTGGCGCCCACCACCACAGCCGCTGTGGGCAGCACCGAAGAGGCGGCGGTACTAACGCCTCCATTTGTATTGGCGGTCGCCATCATGTGCGTATGATGCGCTCCAGTCAGTGGCAAGCATTCCATGGCCAACTTGGCGGTGGTGCGTGTGCAACCGCCGCTATTACTACTGGCGCTGCTGCCGCTGCTGATGTTCTGATTGTGGCTGAGGCAGCTGCCGTCCGTTTTGCTCGTGCCATGCGTCGTTGCAAGTTCAAAGCCTTCATTCTGTAAAGAAGATAAGGAATAACATATAAAGTAACCATTTAGTTGCATTTATTGTTTACGGACTAACAATAAGGAACATGGTAAGCTGAAAAAACTGAAAACTTCTTTCTTAAGAGGCGCCAACTGAAAACAAAAGTGAGGACCAGCTATCAAAAATGCCACATTGTGTGTCAAGGAAACCAAAGTCTACTACAGGCTGAATATACAGAGAATCGATTACCCAGTTCATATGATATCGAAAATCGGTGGCTATCGATGCTTTAAATAGCAATTCCCAGCACAATTTGAAAGATATTTTCCTTTAAACGAGTATGTTTACGTAAATTATTTTAGCAAGTAATGTTTTTGATAATCAGGGGGAAAGAAAATTACAATATCTACCTGCTTTAAAATTACAAAAGTTCAGATAACCTTCAAGACTATTACCCATTTGAACTCATTATCAGTCAATGTGCTTACATGGATTTCCCTCCCACTGGGCCCGTTTGTCTACATCAGTTTTATGCTACTAATTGCTCAGATGATGATAAAACGAAAAGTAGGAAAAAAAACTAAAAACAATAAATAAAAAGCCAAAAAGTGAATTTAATTTATCATCGTGGTGGTGCAATCATTGGAGTTCAAGCATCACAAACGAACGATTAATGCATGACATACAAATTATGATTGATGAGACAGGCGCTCAGCGTGCATTCAATAGTTCAATCGTTCATTCGTTCGGGCGACCTGTGGAGAAAACTATAGCAAAAGTGCAACCCAATGCAACAGAAACAACAGCAGCAACAGCAACAGCAAAATCAATATGTTGAAAGCAATTTGTGACAATCATGTTGATGTTGATGTTGTTTTGTCGGTCGGTTTGTTTGAAGCAAAGCGGGGCCATTGACAGCAACTAGAACAAGCCGCGGGACTGGATTTAAGCTCTCAGGTCGAGTAAAAGTTGTTTGCATCGGCATTTGAATTGCCAACCATCTACACTCATGAAAACGTGTATTCAGTAAATGGCAATTAAATATAAACTAAAAGCGAATTCCTTTCTTTTTTTAGAACTCTATGTCAATAGAAAATTAAGAAAATAGATTTTACTCAAAGTAAAATTAAATTTAAGAAAAATATAATAAATAAATTTAAAAAGGGAAATAAATAGATAAAATAAAAAAATTAAATAAATTTAAAAAATATAAAAATATAAAACAAAAAATAAAAAAATAAATAAAATAAAACAAAAAATTAAATATATAAAAAATGAATAAAAAATAAAATAAATAAAAAATAAAATTAATTAAAAAATAAAATAAATAAAATTTTAAAAAAATAAAAAAGAACAGAAAATTAGAATATATTAAACCTTAAAATCATTACATTTTTTTTAAATAAACGTTTTTTGAATATACAAAAACAATTTTAAAGTAGAGAAAACAATTCAAAATAACTGAAAACAATTTTGCGAAACTACAAAAACTATTTATTATTATAAAATAAAAAAAAAGTAGAAATTAATATCTAAAAAGAATTTATCGTATATTTTTATAGCCTGTACCCAAAGGGTGAAAGGCTATACTAGTTTAGCTTCCAATTCAATGAATGAAAGCATTTTTACAAATTAATTTTTATTTTGGAATTCCAAAAGCTAAGAACAGCAACATTTTCAATGGCTTAAGCACTTTTTTTTTAGTGTAGTTGTGTGCGAAGCATTTGTTTGCAAATGTCAACATTGATCGCATGTGGCATAAAAATTTCGCGCCAACGCTTTCACTGCATTGTGTAGAATGAAGCCGAGAATGTTTCTTTCTCCCATTGATAGCAAATACTTTCACATGCAATATGCATAAATACGTCCCTCCCCCTCACCCAGCGAGGTAATCGTCGTCGTTGTCTCCGTTATTGTTGTTGTTGTCGTCGTCTATTGATCAAACAAACAAGCAACGGTCGTGCTATAAATACGCTAAACAAAAGCAGGCAATTGGGTTGTTTTTCTTGCCCACACAGCTGGTTGCATGCACCTTGATTGACTTTCTTGACTCACTCATTCGCTCACAATTTCTTTGATTGATGTCAGTTAAAATGGTTTTGCTTTAGTTAAGAAAAAAAAAAAAAAAAACACAATAACGAAAAACTTGGTCAATCTTATGTTAATAATATGAAATTGCAGCAATCGCTAGATCGCAGCAATGAAGCATAACATTTTTGGCCCACATCTACTGCCATATCTAATAACTTGTGTGTGTGTTGCCTGGGCGGTCATTATCATAAATACATTTTACAATATGAGAAATGAAAAACTAATTAACACAGGCGGCCAGCGTCGGCCAGGAAGCAAAAGTCATCATTTCGCCGACTGACTTACATAATCTCCCAATTTGGCCGTATTGCCTGGCCTGTGGAGCGTAAAGTCGACGCCGACGTCGACGTCGTTGCACTCGTTTCCCACAGCCTCCTAGTCCCCCTTGCTGGGATAGATAATGTAATTATATAGCTAAATCCATTGTCAACCGCGAGATTGAAACCAAACAACAATTGAAACGTCGCTGTCGTGTGTCACTGGGCGGGTTGATGGACGACAACATCGAGTTCGACTCTAAAGAGTGCTCAATGTCAGTCAACGAATACTCGTAGATATATAGTAGTATGTACTATAATGGGGGCTTTGCTTTATGATTTCTCATTATATTACTCAATTAACTTGAAGCACTGGAAGTTGGTCTTTTGGCCCATAACGTTGGTCTCAGCCGGGAATTGGGCCTGAGTGGGCAACTAATTACAGAAATAAACAAAAACAAAAACAACAACAAAAAGTCAGTCTCGGAAACGCAACTAAAATCTACATATGAGTATACACTCGTATGCAAATATATATACAGTTCAAGTATATTCAGCTATAGACACAAGTGTTTTCTTGTCACTCAAGCGAGGCGTCTGTTTGCTGTCGCATCTCTTGAGTCTGATGGCTGTGGTGCTGCGCCTTCCCGCCTTCGTGGCAGACAAAGCCACGCTCTGTGCCTCATCAGCAGCAGAGCAGTGTTTCTTGATGTCATTGTGGGCGCTAGTCGCGAACTGTCGTCTTTGTTTGCAGCTGTCTTTTGCCACGCACTGCTGAAACCTCCGAGCTACAATTTTATTACTAGCTAGCAATTGGGTTGATCATCGTGCGATGCAATGACAAACAAAAAATCAGAAAACACACAAATCTCTGACATCGAATGATAAAGACTCTTATGCAAAGTTCAAAGAACAGATGAGCTGAGCTTAAACTTTTTTCTTAAAAGAAATAATAAGCTGATATAATTGTAATTTGTTTATTCAATAATTGCACTCAAAATAAAGCTGGTTAAACACTAACTTATTTTATCAAAATATCTCCCTAAACAACTTTAAATGAAGTTGATAAATTTAAGATCTTTAGCAATGGTTGCCCTAAGAAACTAGAAGACTCTATGATTGGACACAACTAGGAACTTTGCTGCCTCAGGAGAGTATAAAGAGTTTAGAGACGTACATGATTCGCCAATGATAGGAGAATATGCAGAATTAAATGAGGCAATTCTATTAAGGTACGAATTGTCATTAAATGGAGTAGAAGAGTAAGCTGATTGGCAAAAACTGGCGAACCAATCAACAAAAGTCGAATCATTGCCGCATTTTCGTTTAGAAGAAGAAATAAGAAGGCAGATATGACGATGAATCGAACTCTACTCTAGTGCCTAAGATGATCAGCGTTACACTGAGAATTGAAAAGAGGAAAGTTCGATTTGGCTATTAAGTATTTTAAAAAGTCAATGCAAGAACTAGAATGCCTTGTCTTCTTAAAATACCAATACTTAATTGCTTAAAGTATATATGCTAAATGAAAAATATAAGATCGATTCATACAGACAAATCTGTTTCTAACACACAAATCTGTTTCTTCACAAATAGAAATCAAAATTTTTATAAGAATGTTTGGCAATACTTAATCGCCAAGATCCACATTTAAAAGTGTAAGTTGTTAAATATTGTATGAATTTGGAGTATGGTGTTTCGACAATTATAAAATGTATAAATTATAAATTTAAGAAAGACCAAGGAATATTTGGCAAATTGAAATCAGCAACCACAACCAGCGTCAAATGATCGTAAGAAAATAAAGACAGCCCCGATGCAAGTAATATAGTATGACGATAGAGGAATATTAACTATTAGATGATTCCAATTTGTTTTTGTATTGCTTTTAAAAAGTTTTACATTTCAATTGATACAGTAAATAATGTTTTTTTTCTTTATTATGAAGTTTGCAATAATTGCTTTTATGATTGATGATTAAATTTCGTATAGCTATAGTTTTTTTATTCAACAATTTAATATAGTTTGGAGCTATGAATTACGTTTTCACAATAATAATTATGTCTTGACGTTTCCTCGAATGAAGTGATGGAAAAACTACTTTAGAATTCCTTTATGAAGCTGAGGTCGCCTTATATCCAATATTAATATATATTTTTTGAATTGATTTTCTTGATTCATTCCCCTTATATCGACTGAACATGTACTCTCTAATAAATATCTTGATTACCATTTAGCTGTTGCAGTGGCCTAAAAACATGTGTGGCAAGGTAGGAGAGCGCAGCATTTGAAGAGCACCTGAGTGCGATTTGCTGGCTGAGCCGATCAATTAAGCTGCCCACCAGCTGCTGTACAATGTAAGTGGTTGTTGTTGTTGCCACACACACACACAGACACACACATACACACACAATTTGTTGGGGCCTTTGAGCATGAGTCGGTTGTAATTAGAAATCAAAATACAAAGCAACAAAATGACTTTGATTTTAATGAGCAACTCTGGCTTAAATATGCAGTTAGGTATTTTGGTAACTGGCAGCATGAAATGAAAATGAATCATTAATAAACAATAAACAAAAATAGAATGCACATGCTGTAATTAAAATAAAGAAAGGCAAAAGCAACTGCCGAAAAAAGTGAAAAACGGCAACAACAACCACAACAAAAATCAATAGCTATAG